TTGGGTATGTTATGCAGCAAAGCCAATGTGAAGGAGATTTTACACAAAAGTTAGAAAGGGCAAAGGGAAGAAGCACTATAGCTAGCAAGAAAGATTAATGTTCATTTTATTTAAAAGGTAAAAAAAAAAAAAAAAAAAAAAAAAAAAAAAGTACACAATATAAAAAAAAAACCTAATGAGAATTATACTACAGAAATGAGTAAAACCTTACAAGAGACTGTTAAACTGAATGACAGATGATGAAATTTCATGTGGATACCATGTAATAAAAGTAGAAGAAAAGAATAACAGACTAAATGAGAATTATAGATTGTGATAAAATATTTCAAGATCTGGACAAAAAGGCTTTAATAAACAATGAGAAAAAAAAGATTGCTACTGGAAGAGCACATCAATGCAACTGTGGAAACACACTTATGCTACTATGCAAAACTTCAAAACAAGCCTTCAGATATATGGATAAACAACTACTCGAACTTATATTAGCCCTAACTGGAACATGCAATAGTGGTGGTTATCTGCATTTAAAAAATGCAGATAAGAGAACAAACAAAGACATGTTCAAAATAGCTCTAAGAAAAATAAATTACTGAAAGAATAATGGACTTTCTACACAAATAGTATGAGAATGCTAAAATGGGACCATAAAGTTAGTAATAAGTGCTATAACCACTAGAAAATTAACAAAAGTTGTAAAAACTAAATCCTGAAGATGGGACACCACAAATAGCCCTGTTCATGTAACTAAAAACAGGTAATTTCTTATACACATTGTGCATGTACTGTACTTCACAACTTCAGAAAGTAACTCCATTTCAACTAATCAATTTTCCTGGCGTTCTTCCAAGATATAACAGTACGTACTACTTAACTTGCTTTCCATTACTACCTTTCCTCTGGTTGAACACGAATATAGGCATGCTGTTTATCCAAGTCCCCTACTTAAATCCTCCATTCTACTTATACATCATACAGCTCCCCCCCATTACCTCTTATTTCCCTACCATATTTACACATTTATTGTCAACCTATCATGCTGCATTTTTTCTGCAACCCATCTTCCAAAAAAAAGTTGCAATTCTGACTGTTTATAAACTTTTCTCACAGAACTTTGTTATGTATTTACGGTATGTTTGGTTAGGTCAAGTATACACAATATATCCGAAAGCCAACAAACAAAACTGCAATGCAGAAAAAAAAAAAAGAACAGAAAACAGGAAATGACAAGGAATCTGTCTTTAATTTTGTTCGGTTGCATTACAATTTCCATTTTACAATTGCTGGCATGTTTTAACTGATTAATTTTTTTATTGTTCACATATGAAAATAGTGGAATTTTCAATATTTAGAGAAACTTGATGGTATTGTAGAGCATTCAGAATATTTTACTTGTGGAAGGTAACAGAGGCAATTAGAGGAATTAACTTTAAAAATCTATACAAAAAACTTGACTGTTGGCAAACATTCCAAAACCTCCAATGACTCCTTTGTTGAATTACCTCATCTCAAAATCTTCTAATTCTGTTCTCTGTTAATTTTGCACCACAATTCAATTCGTTTCCTAAAGTCTTCATATCCATACCTCCAACCTCTTTTGAAAATTTGAAAACAAAGATTCACCCCAGTACTAAAGCCAGCACCCCTTCACTAATTACTGTATACCTTTTTTTTTTTTTGTTGGCACCCATTCAAATATTATTTTTCCTTTAATCTCTTACATCTGCAAATTCTAATCTCCTCTTGAATTATCTTGGAGTGTATACGTGCACTCAAGGCATTTAAATACATTCACATCCTTTAATCTTACTTTCATTCTTTTCTCTTAGGACACAATTCCAAACTCTTTACCAACCTCTGCAACTTCTCAGAACCTTCCAGACTTTGTTACCTGCAAACAGCAAACTCCCACGAACTCAGATTCCTTACACTTTCCTGATAACATGGTCCTCTGATGTCCATTTTAATACTTTTGACATCAACATTGTATGGCAGCCAAAATGCCAGACAAATTTTTATCCAAAATCCTATTCATGGTGGGATATTTCATCAAGTGCTTAGTAATAATACAATATTATAAATGGAAAACTTTCATTTCAATGTACAATTCCACATAAACAAGGCTGTAAGAAAGAAAAACAAGTGATCCAATTCCAAATGACATTTACATGCAAGATTTTCCCCCAGTGACATAGTTCAATAATGAGTAACAATACAAACACTCCCTGTACAAATTTATATTCCAATACATACAATGCAAGAACCCATTCACTTGTGTCAGAGTGAGCAAAACCAATAACCATGAAGTTAATGCAACATGCACATCACATTGGCATGATACACAGAAAATGAGTTTCTGGGTATGGCTTTCCCAGGTGAGCTTAAGAACTATTAGAGAGACGTTACATCTGCATTAATCAACATGCATCCACTACTCCCTGCTTATAGTTCAAATTCTATTTCAGCCATATAATAAGTATTAAAGTTAAAAAGACTGGAACAAATCAGAAAAGAATAAAATAATTCACAAATAACCTAATTAAAATGCAGTGGCATGCATTAAGCTGTTTACATACATTTAAGGCTTCAGTTTAATCTAAAGCAAGCTTTCATAAATGTATAAAAAATACATTACTTATGAAGTGTTACAGATTGGACTAGGTTATTTTTATATGTATTAAAAGATTTAAAAATGGAAGCTTTGTCAATGATTTGGATAAATTTCTATAAATGTGGACATAATTTGAGTGCTGTTTCTCCCACTAAGTTGCTCATTTGTTAATCTACACAAGATAACTTGTTAAGCTCAAGATATATTTTTCATCAGTGAAAGTTGCTACTTAACCCTTAAACTGTCCAAACATAGATCTATGTTCACGTGCATAGCACTCTGAACTTGCTATTGTACATGCTTTATATAAAAAAAATGTAGATCTATGTTTGGAGTGCTACACACAAACGTAGAGCTACGTCTGGACAGTTTAAGGGGTAATGCTGCTGCTGTTCCACCTATTTCCACTAATCATTACTAATTCTTACTGAATAAGATAACTATTTTTTTGTCCAACAATTACAATAAAATAATTGACAAACTTGTAATTTTTTTTATAAGGCATTATGCATATGCTTACCCTGGTAAGGAACAGTGAAGGTTTTAAGTGGCCTCAACAAATATCTCAGTCATTGGCATGGTAAAGTATTTTGCACAAAAGGCTTGAGAAAAGAATTATCTTTAAGTTTAAAAGTAATGATAATCTTATGAAAACACATTTCCAAAAAGATATTATACTGACCTTGTCTTAAATATGGTAACATGTAAATTGGCATATTAGAAAGAAAATACTGAATGCCATGGTCAGCATCATAAGAACAATTAAATCTGGAGAGCAGGTGTAAGAAGAGAGAGATTACTGTGGTTAGTAGGTCTATGCTGGGTTAAGGGCTGAGAAGGTAAAAGGGTAAGTACAGGTGTGCCTGGTGAACAATCAGTTGGTGGCGAGACATCAGTAATATTATAAATATTGGGATTTTCATGTTCACGCAGGAGCTGATCGGCATATTCAGTAGTTAGTGTCTGAAATAGCTGACCCACGAGGCCTTACCTCCTCGACTTTAACCTTAGAATTAGGAGCTAAGAGCTCTGAAACTTTTCTGTGAATATTCTTGTGGCATATTAACATAAACATTTTGCCCTCCTTGCTGCTCATCCCCATCAACTATCCAGTTACTGAAACTATGCTGTTACCTACATCCACATGGTCAATAATCTCAACATTTCCTAAAAATAATTCATTTTTCATTGTGACTAATGGTTCTACTTCTTTACTAACTATTGGGTAGTCAAGCTGATTTTTAATATCTGACACAATTTCTTTCTCTAAGTAGTATCCTTTCCTTACTATTTACACAGGCAGCTGACAACCTATTGGTGCCTTTCATAATCTGTGAAGACCAAGGTAACAAATTCTGATTATTCAAGATATTTTGAGACTCTGTTATGCAAGGCACAGAAGTAATGACTATAGGTGTTGAGGGATTAGAGTTCACTAGAAGTTCCTAAGTGTTCCCCGCAGCTTACACCTCACAAGACTACCATTCTTAACAATATGATTGTTAAGCACAACATTGTTCACAACCTGTTTGTTTACAACTACCTTATTATCAGAATAAGGTATACTTTTACCACTCATGGTTCTTGCTGAAGCATTAGTAGTAATTCCTGCATTATGAATACTACCTACAGTCTGAAGCTTCATACCATCCCTAGCTGCTCCTCTAATTATCAACTTAGCAGAATTGTTAACTGAGGTAGTGAAAGAGTTAGAAGAATAACAGACTGAACTGCAGTACTAGTCACAGTAGTAATTGGCACAGTTGTTCCTTTACTAATGAAGTTATTTGCACTAGATATAGTGCACGTCTGAGAGGGCAGGTGATTATTTCTAATTACCACTGAAGAACTAGTGCGATAAACCTTAGCCAACCGTCCATCTCGACCCTGAACATACTCAACAACATACACTCCCTGACCATCATTTAAAGCAATGTTGGTATCAGGACCAGTAGTTGAAGTAACTGCCATGCCATCTGAATTAATGCTGCCAACAGGTTCCAACATATTATATCCTGATCTTCCATAACACTTAAGGGGTTTTTTGACTGTAAACCAGTCATTTTTACCTGATCCAGAATGCTGTATGCCCACAGGTGACATCATTGGTTCGTCGCTAGGACTTTCCACACCAGCACAAATTGTTATTACTTCCTCTGGGGCTATGTGGTCTCCACAAATTCCATTGAATCTTCAACCATTTGGGGTGATGCTTCTGTCACCTGGCCATTAATATTATCTTTGGTATCTGTCACACTACCACCTATGATACTGTTGTCTTGCATACCAACAGGATCAGTAGCCTTTTCTAAACTTTTAAGGTCAATATTAAGGGTATTCCACGATGATCTTAATATTAACCTTGGGCAATGAGTTATGATCTGAAGGTGGCTGGAAGACATAGGTGCGCAAGTCATCTAGAGCAACTTCCTCCGTTACAACCTCTTCCTCAACTCTCTCTTCCAAAAATATGTCATCCATCTTTTCATGAGAGATGACAGGTAATGGATTTTCCCAGTTATTTACCCCTACATGATTAGACCTAACAGGATTCTTGGATGAACTTAATTTCTTGGGCCCAACAAGCAGACCCGTTTTGCCATTGGTTATCTGCTGAACCCCCAATGCATGTACTAGAGTACTAGATGACATCTGACAACTTCCAACATTTACATTATCACCTGAATGAAGTGACTCCACAGTATGACAGCTATCTTCATCCTCCTCCTCCTCATCCTCCTCCTCCTCCTCCTCCTCTTCTTCTTCATCGTCATCCTCCTCCTCCTCCTCCTCTTCCTCACGATCACCCTCTTCAAAGTCAGTCCATATTTGCTCCTCTTCCATCTGCGCAGCAGCTTCAGGACTAATAATCTTTAGAGGCTGACGAGGTCTGCGAGGCTTACGTCCTTGTGTCTTCTTCATGCGGTCAGCTTCCTCTTGTGAAAGTATTATGATAGCTCCCTGGGTGGTTAATAGCTTCCCATGCCGTGTTCTCAGATGTCGTTTGTACGTATTCCGTGTTTTAAACCTGTAAAAAATATATTAATGATTAAATAGAATTTAGTATATTAGTACCTTGCTGAGATTAAACTCGGAAGTATTATTTACAATACCACAATACATATTTATCTGACTATAATGATCTTACACATAATCGGGTGTTGAACAAACGCAGCCACGCCAATTTTCACATTCCATGCTATTTCTTTCGCACGCGCCAATTTTCCCACTTCCTGTTGTTTATGTACATCTAACAAAGACCCTCACCTTGTAGTTGGTCTCGGTCAGACATGCGTTCATTTGCTGTGAACTCCTCGTGTTGTACTCCGTGTGTTTTTTTAATTCATTTTGTTTTCTTGGTTGTTTATGGTACGTTTTTTCTCTTATTTAAGGTTTTTTCTCCATTAAATTGTGCATTATTTTGTATATTTAAGGATTTTTCAAACTGATTATTTTTTCTGTGCTTAAAAACTCTTAACGGTTCGTAGGGGTCTAGAACGGACTTGTGCAATATTAGTTTTCTCTGTGTTATTTAAGATTTTTACAATTAGTTTACTATTACACTGTGCATTCTATGGTATAATTAAAAATTTTTGGGCTAAAAAAAAATTACATACAGTTCGTAGGGGTCTGGAGTGGATTAATCATATTTACATACAATCCAATGGGGAAATTAGGTTCGGGTCATGACCAAATCAGGTTGTGACCAGAGTTTTGGAACGAATTATGGTTGTGACCAGAGGCTCCACTGTATATGCATATATATTTTTTTTAACACATCAGCCATTTCCCACCAAGGTAGGGTTACCCAAAACAAAAACCCAAAAAGAAAGAAAAAACTTTCATTATCATTCAACACTTTCACCATCACTCATACATAATCACTGTCTTTGCAGAGGCACTCAGATACAGCAGTTTAGATGTCCCTCCAAACTGCCAATATTCTAACCCTTCCTTTAGAGTTCAGGCATTGTACTTCCATTTCCAAGACTCCAGTCTAGCTAACTGCTTTCCCTGAATTTCCTTTACAAAATATTTCCCTGCTCACACTCCAACAGCTCGTTAAGTCCCAAAAACCATTTGGCCCCGTTCACTCCTATCTAATACGCTCAATTCTGATAGAAGTTTGCATTAACATTTTATGTACTTAGTGCAATTTAAACTCCACAAAAGTTTATAAAGTTTTTCTTCTTATTTTAACCCTTTGACTGTCGCGGCCGTATATATACGTCTTACGTCCTGGTGTCGCAAAATTTCAAAAAAAAAAAAAAAAAAAAAAAAAAAAAAAAAAAAAAAAAAAAAAAAAAAAAAAAAAAAAAAAATTCTTATGAAATGATAGAGAATCTTTTCCTGATTGTAATGACACCAAAAGAAACGAAATTTGATGGAAAACTGACGGAATTATGCTCCCTATTTTTGGCTAATTCCATTGTTCCAGTCGCCCAAACTCATAGCTATTTCTTTAGAACTCCATTTTTTCTATCGATTAAGTACAAGAAACTGCCCATTTACCGATTTCAACTACCTAATAATGTGGTCAGAAATTTGCAATTTGGCCAATTTCACGAAAACTAAAAAATATGACAATTTCAAAATAAGATCCAGAATGAACAATGCAGACATTCCTGGCTCTAAAATAACATTTTCTTTGTTCATCAGTCATGTCTCCAGGCCCCTCTGATATTACTCTTGCTTTCTATTTTGAATTTTTATTCAAACAAAAAATTGAAGACTTACTATTATGCAGACTACTGCAATACTGTAATAATTGTATAAATAACATCAACCCATTCATGACTGCATATTAGAATGGCTAGTTGGACATTTACTGGAAAATGGCATCATTTGCTTACTTTTGAACATTGGCAAAAATCAAACATTTCCCCTACTTTGAGCTCCATTTCTAGGTTCTTTTTATAGTAAAATCAATCAAAATCATCTCTATTTCTATAATATGTCTTCCATTCTATCAAATGAGACCAACAAAACGAGAATACAACCATAAATACTATACGAAAATAGACCACAAAGTCGGCATTTTAATTAAAAAAAACGGTCGGAGTTTTTTTTTCTCATTATGCACTGCGTGCTCCAGGATTTTTTTTATATGGTGCACACTGACCACACAGACCCATTCTCTCACATGTAGGCCTACCAACTTTCTCCTGCTTGATTTGAAGCCGCTAGAATTTATGAGTATATATCCCTTTCAGGGTCCGTCCCGTAGATCTACGGCTTTATGGTGAGTGTCCAAACCGTAGATCAACGCCATGAGCTCAGCTCACTCTGATAAACTGTGAGTGGTACATTTGGGCCTAGATATGAGAGAATACATCTATGTGGTATGTGTGCACCACATAAAACAGATCCTGCAGCACGCTGTGTATAATGAGAGAAAAAAACTGAAATCATGATTTTTCGATTAAAACAGCAACTTTGCAGTGTTTTTTCGTATGTTTTTTATAGGTGTATTTGCGATTTCTTGGTCTCATTTGATAGAATGGAAGACATATTACAGAAATAGAAATGATTTTGATTGGTTTTAGCACTGGAAATGGCTTGAAACTGAGCTCAAAGTAGCGGAAATGTTAAATTTTTGCCGATATTCAAGAGTAAACAAACGACCTCACACGTCTAATACACGTCAGCTGGTGGGTCTAATATACATTCACAAATATGGTGATGATATTTATACAATTATTACAGTATTGCATAACAGTAAATCTTCTATTTTTTGGTGTGAATAAAAATTCATTATGTGAATAAAAAATCAAAATGGACTTATTGTAAAGCCTCAAAACATAACTAATGAACAGAGGAAATGTTAGTTTAGTGCCAGGAATGCCTACATTGTTTATTCTGGACCCTATTTTGAAATTGGAATATTTTGAACTTTGTGTTAAATTGGCCAAATTAACAATTTCCGATCACTTTATTTTGTAGTTGAAACAGTTGACTTGGCGATTTCTTGTGCTCAATCGATAGAAATAGAAGTAATACTAGTGAAATAGCTAAGAATTTGGTTGATTGGAATAATGTAATTGGCCTAAAATGGGAGTCAAAGTCAGCAAAATCGCCGATTCGTAAATATCGCTGACACATCAAAATTCGCGAGAGCATAATTTCGTCAATTTTCCACCAAATTTCGTACTTTTTGTTTTATTACCTTCACAAAAAGATTCTCTACGATTTCATAAGAAAAAATAACAAATTTTTTTTTTGAAAATTCTTGGACACTGGTGCGTGACTCCAGATTTGGGCCTTGGACCCTGAAAGGGATATACGTCAAACACGGTACCTCGTAAGACGTATATATACGGCTGCGACAGTCAAAGGGTTAAGCTTACACAGAAGAGTTTCCCCAATGGAAATAAGTCACTCTGTCTGACTTTTTTGGGTTATCCTAGGTTCTCTACACATATGCTTGTATGTATGATAATCTAACTGTATTTGTGTGTACCTGAATAAACTTACTAGCCAGACTCGAGTCCTGGAGGAGGGAAATACAGTGCCTGCATTCTGAAGGTGGGGCGAGGATACTTGCAGCTGGAGGGCATCTGAACTGTAGTATCAGTTCACCTCTGGCATGACAGTGAGAGTAAACGATGTTGAAAGTGTTTCTTATTTTTTGGGTCTCTACCTTCATACCTTCATGGGGCATGGCCGGTTTAAAAAAAAATAATCAGCTCTCTTTATAGATATACTGCAATGTATTCAATTTTTGATGCTCTACAATCTTGTGAGTTTGATGTGTTTTAATACTACCAATATAAGCTTTTTTTTTGTTAATGTCTCCTGCTGAGGCAGGGTGACCAATAAAAGAAGAATACTTTCACTATCATTCATTCTATCCGTCTTGCCAGAGGCATGCACATGCTAGTTTAGATGCCCCTCCAAACTGCAAATATCCCCCACCCTTCCTTCAAAGTGCAGACAGTACTTCTCACCTCCCAGACTCAAGTCAGGCTAACTGGTTTCCTGAATCCCTTCACAAATGTTACCTGGCTCACACTCCAGCAGAGAGTCAAGTCCCTAAAACCATTTGCCTCCATTCACTAACACATTGGATGTCCAAACCCCTTGCACATACAACCTCCTTTACCCCCTCCCTCCAACCTTTCCTAGGGTGACCCCTACCTTGCCTTCCCTCCACTATAGATTTATAAACTCTACAAGTCGTCCTATTTTTTTGCCTTCCACTCTAAATATCCAAAATACCTCGACAATCCCTTCTCAGTCCTCTGGATAATTTTAGTAACTCTGTACCTCCTCCTAATCTCCAAACTAGGAATTCTCTGCATAATATTTACACCACACATTGCCTCTGACACAACATCTTCACTGCCTCCAACCTCCTTGCTGCAACATTCACACCCCATGTTTCACAACCATGCAAGTGTCAGTACCACTAAACAGGAGGGCTTCACTTTACAGCATTTCCCTCTATGGCATTTCACATACCTTTTCTTCATCTACTCAGATTTCCTACTATAAATATATTCACCACTCACTAGGAAAAAATATTTTAAGGTAAGTAATGTGTGTAGTGTTCATGCATTTTTTAAGCCTGGTTCTATTGCTCACTTAAATAGTGGTACCTCGAGTTTTGAACTGCTCCAACTCGAACAATTATGTAAGTGTATTTGTGTAAGTGCGTTTGTAAGTGTATTTTTGGGAGTCTGAAACGGACTAATCTAATTTACATTAGTCCTTATGGGAACGAACTCGTTTGGTATTAGCACTTGAACAGCATTCTGGAATGAAATAAGTTCAAAACTCGGGGTACCACTGTAAATATATGATAGTGTAAATATGTTACCAGGCTTTTATATGCGTTAGAAACTGAAAAGCCTATACAGCCTCTCCTCACTTAACAACGGAGTTCCATTTCCTAAGACCATGTCAGTAAACAAATTTGTCACCAAGTGAGGAGCATAGTATAATACAGGTCTCCTTCAACATTCGCGTTTTCAACTTTTAGGGGCTTCACACATTCGCGAATTCCCAACCGCTAAATTCCCAGCCGCC